GGGGGCAGAAAGTATATTGGAGCACATTATAGCAGAGAACTTCCCTAATTTGGGGAAGGAAACAGGCATCAAAATCCAGGAGGTGCAGAGAACCTCCCTCAAAATCAATAAAAATAGGTCAACACCTTGACATCCAATAGTAAAACTTACGAGACTCAGAGAGAAAGAGAAAATCCTGAGAGCAGCTTGGAACAAGAGATCTGTAACCTACAATGGTAGAAACATTAGATTGGCAACAGACCTATCCACAGAGACCTGGAAGGCCAGAAAGGACTGGCATGATATATTCAGAGCACTAAATGAGAAAAATATGCAGCCAAGAATACTATATCCAGCTAGGCTGTCATTGAAAATAGGAGAAATAAAAAGCTTCCAGGACAAACAAAAACTAAAGGAATTTGCAAACATGAAACTAGCCCTACAAGAAATATTGAAAGGGGTCCTCGAAAAAATGAGAGAGCCTAAAAGTAACATAGACCAGAAAGGAACACAGACAATATACAGTGATAGTCACCTTACAGGCAATACAATGGCACTAAATTCATACCTTTCAATAGTTACCCTGAATGTAAATGGGCTAAATGCCCCAACCAAAGACACAGGGTATCAGATTGGATAAAAAAACAAGACCCATGGATATGCTGTCTGCAAGACACTCATTTTAGACCCAAAGACATCCCAAGATTTAAAGTGAGGGGATGGAAAACCATGTACCATGCTAATGGACACCAAAAAAAAAAGCTCAGGGGCAATCCTTATATCGGACAAATTCGATTTTAAACCAAAGACTGTAATAACAGATGAGGAAGGACACTATATCATACTTAAAGGGTCTATGCAACAAGAAGATCTAATAGTTGTAAATATCTATGCCCCTAACATGGGAGCAGCCAATTATATAAGCCAATTAATGACAAAAGCAAAGAAACACATTGACAACAATACAATAATAGTGGGGGACTTTAACACCCCCCTCACTGAAATGGACAGATCATCTAAGCAAAAGATCAACAAGGAAATAAAGACTTTAAATGACACACTGGACCAAATGGACTTCACAGATATATTCAGAAACATTCCATCCCAAAGCAACTGAATACAAATTCTTCTCTACTACCCATGGAACATTCTGCAGAATAAATCACATCCTAGGTCACAAATCAGGTCTCAACAAAAGATTGGGATCATTCCCTGCATATTTTCAGACCACAATGCTTTGAAAGTAGAACTCAATCACAAGAGGAAAGTCGGAAAGAACTCAAATACATGGAGGCTAAAGAGCATCTTACTAAAGAATGAATGGGTCAACCAGGAAATTAAAGAAGAATTAAAAAAATTCATGGAAACCAATGAAAATGAAAACACAACTGTTCAAAATTTTTGGGATTCAGCAAAGGCAGTCCTACCAGGAAAGTATATAGCAATACAAGCCTTTCCCAAGAAACAAAAAAGGTCTCAAATATACAACCTAACCCTACACCTAGTGGAGCTTGAGAAAAAACAGAAAATAAAGCCTAAACCCAGCAGGAGAAGAGAAATAATAAAGATCAGAGCAGAAATCAATGAAATAGAGACCAAAAGAACAGTAGAACAGATCAACGAAACTAGGAGCTGGTTCTTTGAAAGAATTAACAAGATTGATAAACCCCTGGACAGACTTATCAAAAAGAAAAGAGAAATGACCCAAATAAATAAAATCATGAATGAAAGAGGAGAGATCACAACCAACACCAAAGAAATACAAACAATTATAAGAACATATTATGAGCAGCTATATGCCAACATATTGGATAATCTGGAAGAAAGGATGCATTCCTAGAAATGTATCAACTACCAAAACTGAACCAGGAAGAAATAGAAAACCTGAACAGACCTATAACCATTAAGGAAATTGAGGCAGGCATCAAAAATCTCCCAACAAACAAAAGCCCAGGGCCGGATGGCTTCCCAGGGGAATTCTACCAAACATTTAAAGAAGAATTAATACCTATTCTTTAGAGACTGTTCCAAAAAATAGAAATGGAAGGAAAACTTCCAAACTCGTTTTATGAGGCCACCATTACCTTGATCCCCAAGCCAGATAAAGACCCCATCAAAAAGGAGAATTACGGACCAATATCCTTGATGAACATGGATGCAAAAATTCTCACCAAAATACCAGCCAAGAGGATCCAACAGTACATTAAAAGCATTATTCACCCCGACCAAGTGGGATTTATCCCTGGCTGCAAGGTTGGTTCAACATCCGCCAATCAATGTGATACAATACATTGATAAAAGAAAGAACTAGAACCATATGATCCTCTCAATAGATGCAGAAAAAGCATTTGACAAAGTACAGCATCCTTTCTTGATCAAAACTCTTCAGAGTACAGGGATAGAAGGTACATACCTCAATATCATAAAAGCCATCTATGAAAAACCTACAGCAAAAATCATTCTCAATGGGGAAAAACTGAGAGCTTTCCCCCTAAGGTCAGGAACGCAGCAGGGATGTTCACTATCACCACTGCTATTCAACATAGTATTAGAAGTCTTAGCCACAGCAGTCAGACAACAAAAAGAAATAAAAGGCATCCAAATCAGCAAAGAAGAAGTCAAACTTTCACTCTTTGCAGATGATATGGTACTTTATGTGGAAAACCCAAAAGACTCCACCCCAAAACTGCTAGAACTCATACAGTAATTCAGTAAAGTGGCAGGATATAAAATCAATGCATAGAAATCAGTGGTATTCCTATACACCAAGAACAAGACAGAAGAAAGAGAAAGGAGTCAATCCCATTTACAATTGCACCCAAAACCATAAGACACCTAGGAATAAATCTAACCAAAGAGGCAAGGAATCTGTACTCAGAAATCTAAAATACTCCTGAAAGAAATTGAAGAAGACACAAAGAAATGGAAAAACGTTCCATGCTTATGGATTGGAAGGACAAACATTGTGAAGATTTCAATGCCATCAAAATCCTAAAGGAGAACACAGGCAGCAACCTCTTCGACCTCAGCCACAGCAACTTCTTCCTAGAAACATCACCAAAGGCAAGGGAAGCAAGGGCAAAAATGCACTATTGGGACTTCATCAAAATAAAAAGCTTTTGCACAGCAAAAGAAACAGTCTACAAAACCAAAAGACAACCAATAGAATGGGAGAAGATATTTGCAAATCACATATCAGATAAAGGAGTAGTATCCAAAATCTATAAAGAACTTCTTAAACTCAACACCCAAAGAACAAATGATCCAATCAAGAAATGGGCAGAAGACATGAACAGACATTTTTCCAAAGAAGACATCCAAATGGCCAACAGACACATGAGAAAGTGCTCAACATCGCTCAGCATCAGGGAAATCCAAATCAAAACCTCAATGAGATACCACCTCACACCAGTCAGAATGGCTAAAATTAACAAGTCAGGAAATGACAGATGTTGGCAGGGATGTGGAGAAAGGGGAACCCTCCTACACTGTTGGTGGGAATGCAAGTGATAGAGGCACTCTGGAAAACAGTATGGAGGTTCCTCAAACAGTTGAAAATAGAGCTACCATCCGATCCAGCAATTGCACTACTGGGTATTTACCCCAAAGATACAAATGTAGGGATCCGAAGGGGTATGTGCACCCCAATGTTTATAGCAGCAATGTCCACAATAGTCAAACTATGGCAAGAGCCAAGATGTCCATCGACAGATGAATGGATAAAGAAGAGGTGGTATATATACACAATGGAATATTATGCAGCCATCAAAAATATGAAATCTTGCCATTTGCAATAACGTGGATGGAACTGGAGGGTATTATGCTGAGCGAAATAAATCAATCAGAGAAAGATATGTATCATATGACTTTACTGATATGAGGAATTCTGAATCAGGAAACAAAGTGAGGGTTGTTGGAGTGGTGGGGTGTGGGAGGGATGGGGTGGCTGGATGATAGACATTGGGGAGGGTATGTGAGCGCTGTGAATTGTGTAAGACTGTTGAATCACAGACCTGTACCTCTGAAACAAATAATACATTATATGTTATAAAAAAAAAAAAGAAGAAGAAGATAGCAGGAATGGAAGAATGAAGGGGAGGAAATCGGAGGGAGAGATGAACCATGAGAGACTATGGACTCTCAGAAACAAACTGAGGGTTCTAGAGGGGAGGGGGGAGGGGAATGGGTTAGCCTGGTGATGGGTATTAAAGATGGCACATACTGCATGAAGCACTGGTTGTTATATGCAAACAATGAATCATGGAACACTACATCAAAAACTAATGATGTAATGTATGGTGATCAACATAATATAATAATTAAAAAATAAAAAATAGGCAGAATTAGTTTACCTGATTCTAGACTTATTATAAAGCTACAAAAATCATGACTATATATTACTGACAGAGGGACAGACACATAGATTAATAGAACAGAAACGAGAAACCAGAAATAAGCCCACACAAATATGCCTAATGGATTTTTTTGTAGATTTTATTTGTTTGAGAGAGAGAGAGAGAGCACACGTGCAAGTGGGGGATGGAGCAAAGAGAGAGGGGCAAGCAGAGTCTCTGCTCAGGGCAGAGCCTGGCAAGGGGCTCAATCCCATGACCCCCAGATCATGATCTGAGCTGAAATCAAGAGTCACACGCCAAACTGACTGAGCCACCCAGGCAGCCTAACTGATTTTTGATATAGGTGCAACTCAATGGAAGAAAGACAGCCTTTACGATTGTACATCTATGGGGGGCGGGGAATAACATCAATCTAAGTGTCACACCATTGAGGAAAATTAGGTAAAGGGTATATAGGATCTTTCTGTATTATTTCTCAAAATTGCATATAAATCTATAATTATACCAAAATAGAAAGCTGAATTTAAAAAATATTTAAAGAATTTAGTCAACTCTGTTCCTTGATATGGCTATGTATAGATGGATAGAGAAGTCTGGAAGGAAGAACATTTAAAAGAAGGAAGAATTTAGTGTTTATGACTCAAACCCTGCAGAATCAGCTCTTACCTGCAGCAAAGCTCCCATTAGTGATGCCAATGCAGCCATTCCAATGCACAGAGCTCCAAACAGCACACCTAGATGGATGATATAAAAGCCAGTGTAAAATTCAGATCCAGAGGATTAGAATTCTCAATAGAATAAGCTACCCACCTTTGATTCAAAGTAATTAATATGACTGTGGTGAAAAATGGCCACATACATCAGAGCCAGCCAAAAAAAGGGAAGGGGTGTTTTCCTACAGGATCAGCAGTGTGCAAAGGGGAAAGGAAACTCCGTTATTGTGTCCTGGGATTAGTGACATTAGGTTATATAAATAAAAAAATCCCTAGCATTAACCATAGGGACTTTAAAGCTTAGAACTATTGTGTCATTAATCTAATCCTCCATACACATTTGTTTATAAAGGAAGGCTTAGGTCTCTTTCAGTTTGCCAGAAACGGGGCACAGTCCAGCTCTGCTCTGTATACGTAATGGGGGAGGGGAGTAATAAACATCAGAAATTCGAGTCATCTGATTTGAAGTATTCATTTCTCCTGGGAAGTGACAATCCACACCAAGGGGTGGTTTAGGACCTTTAGCCCTCTTGTAATCTTCATCAACATCCCCAAGCCTTTCCTGTTAAACTAGCAAAGAAAGATAGTATCAAGTATGATATTACCCATTCTACAGATTGTTTTTCCAAACTTTATAGAAATTCTCAAGCCACCACTGCTGGTCAGATTACAAATTATAGAATTTTTTTTCTTTTGGCTTTCAGTACTTTCCAGATTTTCTCCAAATACATTTTTTAAATAATTCTTATGACTTGTTTGGTTAGTCGTATTTTTTTATTATGTTATGTTAATCACCATAATTACATCATTAGTTTTTGAGGTAATGTCCCATGAGTCATTGTTTGCATATAACACCCAGTGCTCCTTCAGTACGTACCCTCTTTAATACCCATCACCAGGCTAACCCATCTCCCCACCCCCCTCCCCTCTAGAACCCTCAGTTTGTTTCTCAGAGTCCATAGTCTCTCATGGTTCATCTTCCCCTCCGATTTCGACCCCCTTCATTTCTCCAAATACATGTTTTACTTTTTAAATTATAGGAAAATTTACACACATGCCCCCAGATTTTTATTTTTGAAGATTTTCATTTAGCACAAATCACCTGAAATCAGTCAATATAATTTACCACACATAAAAATCAAAACACAAAAAAGGAATGATAAATTTGCTCATAAAATTAGTGCATTCCTTATATCTATCTAATTTACACTAGCACTCACCCCTTTGTTAAGTATATTGGGTAAATAACCTTATTGCACCTGAATGGAAACCTTACATTAAATTTGTACATAGAGCTCATGTCGCAATGATTTTTTTTATGCCTCCAAATCCTAATGTAAATAGTATTTCCAACATATTTAGCTTGAGTCTTCTATATCTGATAGCTCATAAATGGTCACCACTGTGGGTTTTTGGTATTCAAAGTTGATGGAAACACAAATTATTTGCCATGTTCTTCTCAATGATGTCCTTACTATACAGACCTCAAAATAATGACTTTATATAACCCTTCAAAGTAAATGAAAACCTCATCTATACTAGCAGAGTTAATTTGTTATTAATGATCATCAACATCCTTCCTTGACCACCAGCTAGTGCTTCTTATTTTATATGTATTATCTCTAAACCTCATAGTACCTGCAAGATGAATATTTGTTGTAACATTTTTCATACAAAAAATTCAATCTGTATTGGGTTATTGGGTTTGTTTGAGATTAATAAACTGGTAAAGCCTGACTGGGTCTGTCTGGCTTCAAAAGCTTCTATTTAAAAGCATATAGCTTCAATAATCCTATAATGAATCACTCTAAATACTCTTTAGGAAGAATTGTATTATTCTGAAATTATGCTCCAGGATTAAAATTGGGCACATAATAAGATGATGCAATGTTATTTAAATTCAAGGGACACTGAAGAATATAAATTAAGTATTTATTCCAGGCTATCATTAAGACAATTACATATAGAATTGTGGTTCAAAATAGAATATTATTTACTGTTTCTTTGACAGTCTAGTGTTACTGGGTTGAAGTTAAACATTTTTTTTTCAAAAACAAGTTTGTTAGTCATTCATTCCCGAACACATATAACCAAAATGTCAAGCACAAAGAATGAAGTACACTAGCCAGATTTCTTTGGGTCAAATTGTTACATTTGGGGTGTCTGGGAACTGGGGTCTTTAAACCTTTCCATTCACCTGATATTTAACCCCTAATAAGGTCCTACAATCTATCAATAGAAGTTGAACATTCCTTGTACAATTTAATTGACTATCTCCAGGGCAGTCTACGTGTACAGATAGAATAGACAATAAAGATGGGTCAAAAATCACAACACTCTGTTTCTTTATCTTCAATTCATACATACAGACTATGTATTCTATTTTTTGGCTTAGGCTTTTTTTATTTAATTTTTTAAAATGTAAATTCAATTAGCCAACATATAGCACATCATTAGTTTCAGATGTAGTGTTCAATAATTTATCAGTTGTGTGTAACACCCAGTGTTCTGTACTTTAAACTGACAGTGCCCTCTTACATAATAAAGAAGAAGTGTGGCTCTTGGCTCCAAACTAAGGGTATTTCTTAAAACTGTTGGCTAAAGTTTGAAAAGGAAAAGGGTTGAATTTTTTTCTGTGGCTAAGAATTTTAACATAGATTTGGGAAAGGAAGAAGTGAGAAAAGGAAGACAGCTAAATAAGGACCACTGAAAATATGTTCAACATCACTCGTCATCAGGTAAACAAATCAAAACCACAATTAGATACCACCTCACACCCGTCAGAATGGCTAAAATCAACAAGACAAGAAATAACAGATGTTGGCAAGGATATGGAGAAAGGAGAACCCTCCTGCACTCGTGGTGGGAATGCAAACTGGTGCAGCCACTGCGGAAAACAGTATGGAGATTCCTCAAAAGTTAAAAATAGAACTACCTTGTGACCCAGCAATTGCACTACTACGTATTTATCCAAAGAATACAAAAATGCTGATTTGAAGGGATACATGCACCTCAATGTTTATAGCAGCATTGTCTATAATAGCTAAATTATGGAAACGGCCTAAGTGTTCATCAGCTGATGAATGGATAAAGAAGATGTGGTACATATATACAATGTAATATTACTCAGCCATAAAGAATAAAATCTTGTCATTTGTAATGACATGGATGGAGCTAGAGTATATAATGCTAAGTGAAATAAGTCAGTCAGAGAAAGACAGATACTATATGATTTCACTTGTATGTGGGATTTAGCAAACAAAACAAACAAGCACGGGGGAAGGAAAGAGAGAGGCAAACCAAGAAACAGACTCTTAACTATAGAGAACAAGCTTTTGCTTACCAGAAGAGAGGTGGGTAGAGGAATGCATGAAATAGGTGACGGCAATTAAGGAGTACACATGTTGTGATGAGCACCAGGTATTGTATGGTAGTGTTGAATCACTGAAACTAATATTACACTGTATGTTAATTAACTGGAATTTAAGTTAAAACTTAAAAAAAATAAGGACCTCTGAAAATTAATTACTTGAAGTGTCTTTCAAATCTTGATTGCAAATATGGCATAACTGCATTTAGTCACAGACATGCATATGTATATGCACATTTACACTTGAAGGTTCTTACGCCGTATCTTCCATGGAAAAGATTTCTGATATTTCCAAAAACCATCTCCTGGAGGTAAAAAGGAATTGTGAAAATGGAAACTCACTCATTCCTTGGGAAATCCAAGAGAGAGACCTTTCTGAGAGCGATCTGAAGTGAGGTTTAATTAGATCTTCCACAGTTACTGCTGCTAAAGCATTAATACTGGAGGACACTGTGCTGTAAGAGAAAAATCAATCTTTTGATTTATAATATTTTAACTTCAATAATACTTTAAGTAGGAATAAGAAAGGGGGAAACAAACTGTCATTTCTGAAATATAACCAGATTTCTACTATATTTTAATGATCACAACATCCTCTTTCTGGAAGCTGTTATCATCCAAGAATGATTCAGGTAACATCCATAGGCTTAATAGTGAGAAAACAATTTTATGTTGCTTCTGCTTTGCAATAAATCCTCAGTGTCTATGGAAAGAATCTACAAAGACTACATAGTACTACTATATAATGACTTCTTTGTGCATTGAAAGTACTGTCATAAATCCTCACAAACACATGCCATTAATATCAATAATATTAATTTCCTGGATCCTTACTAACATACCCTGTACATGTTAATAATAAGAATTCCCTGGGCGCCTGGGTGGCTCAGTTGGTTAAGTGACTGCCTTCAGCTCAGGTCATGATCCTGGAGTCCCAGGATCGAGTCCTGCATCGGGCTCCCTGCTCAGCAGGGAGTCTGCTTCTCCCTCTGACCCTCTTCCCTCTCATGCTCTCTCTCTCTCTCAGATAAATAAATAAAATCTTAAAAAAAAAATTCCCTGGCACAAACACTGGAAGAAAGTGCAATGAATAAGTTGAAACACAGAACAAGATTCTTTGGACAGTGTATATTATTCAGCACATAATAGGAGATTTTAATTATAATTTTCCATTTGACCATGCTTTAGCTATACATACATTTTAAACCAAGACTATAGGCACCCATTTTTGATAATCAGTGAGAACTACCATCAACTGATCATTATTATGGTGACCCTACAGAGTATGTGATGATGTATTACAGTAGAGACCAAGTTAAAAGTGGAGACAGGATAACAGACTGATAGTCCACATGGATAAAAGTGAGACCAACAGAGAGGATACATGGAGTAGATTACCCACTTTGGGTCATTTGTGCTCATGTCCAGAATTCAGCTTTAGCCCCCAAAATATTGAATAACAAAAGAAAGATCCCAACAGGGAAACCATGTATTGTTAGAGTCATAGTTCATACCTTAATGTTCCACTGTAAGCACAGGCCACAAAAAGTCCAGGAAGTCCTGGAAAATCTTGCAGAATGTCCAGTACCAAATAAGGCATGAGCTGAAAAATTCCAAAATTTACTTCTGAGTGCTATTTGCTATCAAATAAAATTAATTAATGCCTCATTTATCTTGTGTTCTTTAAGAACTAAAGGAACATATTCCATATAATTGAAATTTCCGAATATGAAAAATCAAATTCTTTTATTGCTAACACTTAAAAGAATAGCAGAGTAGTTAAGGATACAGGGTCTGGATTCAGACAGAAGTGGTTTTTGTCACTTCTCTAAGACTCAGTTCCCTCATCTGTAAAGTAGGGATAATAATACTAACCTCATAGACTTGCTATAAAAGTTAAATTACATCATCTATGTAAGGTTCTTAATATAGTACATGGAATATTGTAAATGCTTGATCAAAGGTAGCTGCTCTCAGTCTTTGGAACAATAAGACAATTTAATGGAAATATTTTACATATCTCTATGCTTACATAATAAGAAGCATTCACTTAACTTTACCTGATGACTCAAAGTTCACCTTTGAGAGCGTTAATCACTACCCAGGACTGAAAGCGTAATTATAGTTGCATATAGTATGAGATATAGTGATAAGTGGAGAGTAAACTTGGGAAGTTCCTGAAACTTGCTTCTTTTTAAAAAGTTCCTGATATGAACTTACCTTTTGATAAGTTACTTTTTAAAAAATAAATATTCAATAAGGATGGGAAAGTGTATTACTTCAGTACTATGTCACATGACAGTCTTTTGGCAAAACTGATTTTTAAATCAAGAGGGTCCTAAGAGGATAATTTTCTAGAAAAAGTCCCCTCACTTGCACTGAAACAGTCTTGAGTCCTTCTCCAATAGTATAGAGTAGATGTCATATCTTCTCTTATCAGCCTCTTCTGATTTCACTTGACAATAGTTTGTTATGGGATGTTGAAGAACATCCTCCACTGTGGCAAGGGTCTGTGTTGAGTTGTTTTAAGAATGTCTCCACCTTATCCAAAGCTTACTAATTTTTTATTCTCAGAAAGAGTGAATAGAACTTATCTCTATATGAAATCAAGTTCCAGTTTTCCCAAGGTATCTTAAAGGTGTAACTTCAAGCAGTATTCCATACATAAGCAAAAGTCAAAGTTCCCATTGTTACTGTGATAACAAGATCAAAATCCTCTACCCTAACATCAACTTTCTCAAAAGTCTTTGGTGTGATATTTCATATTCTGAGTGGCCCCCTCAGGTATAGGTAGAACCAGCAAGGTGAGACTGATAGAAAAATAGTAAAACTCTCTCTAGACACTAATCTTGCTTCCTCGGGGTGAGTTCCAGCAGTGTTGCAGAAATATATCTTTGCTCTCCTTGGTTTAAGATTTTGACCTGACTTTCTACTACTGTGCCTTATGTGCATTGTATCCCTAGGGAAATGTTAATGAATTAACTCCTCAATCGACATAATACCAGAATCATCCAATTAGGAGGAAACCTCTTTCTTTTTAAAAAAATTAGCACAGGCTCTCTAAAGGTGCATGCATGCAAGACACCACTGAATGCATTCTATGACAAGGAGTCTCAAGAATAGGAAGTTGTAGATATTTTTTGTTGTTGTCTAGGGATAGAGGAAGATATATGAGAAATATTTTTAACATCCCTATTATCTTCATGATATAAACTACAGACAAAATATTCTTCACTAGAGAGAATATAAGGGAAGAGTGCCTCCATCTTCAGAGTAAACATGATTAGATTCTCTGAGCAAATAGGAAAGATCTATTTATTAACAGGAGGACACATGTGAATACAGGGTTGAGATGCACAGCTCAAGGAGGTTCTCATTTTCTAACTCCACAAGGTTGCATTTTTTTCTGGGAGTGTGTGATGCATTTATGTCAGCATAAATTTCAATCTATCTTCAATCTAATGAGTACCTTGGGCACTTGATTTACAAGCAAGTCTTAGAACATAATTTTGGAGAACTCAAGCTTCGGAATCTAACACTGAATTCTAGCTATACTTTCTGAAAGGCGGTATATGGCATAGAGGTTCAAAGTTAGGACTCTGGGGGGTGCCTGAGTGGCTCAGTCATTAAGCATCTGCCTTCGGCTCAGGTCATGATCCCGGGGTCCTGGAATCGAGCCCTGCATCGGACTCCCTGCTCCGCGGGAAGCCTGCTTCTCCCTCTCCCACTCCCCCTGCTTGTGTTCCCTCTTTCACTGTGTCTCTCTCTGTCAAATAAATAAATAAAATCTTTAAAAAAAAACAAAAAACAAAAAACAAAGTTAAGACTCCAGTGGCAGGCTCCCTGTGCTTGAATTCTGGTTCTAGGTTTACTAGCTATTACATAGTTTGTCTGTGCCTCAGTTTCCTCATCTTTGAAAGGGAGGTAATTATAGCACCTACCTCAGTGTGTAGCTGTAAGGATTCAAAGTTGAAGTTTATATAAAGCACTTATGACAGTATGATGAATGCTTGCGGCTATACTTATTTATCAGCTATGTGACCTTGAGCAAGTAATATAATCTCTCTGCAAGTCACTCATTTCCTCATCTCCAAAATTAGATTTACCAGGTTATGAGAATTAAAAGAGATAAAGCATACAAAGTTCTGGGCACAGAATCTCACCACATAGTTGGTACTCAATAAATGTTCACTCATTAGATCTGTTTATCATTTAAAAACTGGAAGGTAAACTGTTGATAAAAAAGTGATCTAAGAATACCCACAAAATATTTTACACTACCATGGTTTGCATATGGTTTTTTTTTCTTTAACTGTGTTCACATTTCTACTCCCAGTCTTGACCTAATTCTATTTAACAATTGGCTTGAAATTTTCCAGGTATTTCAGTATTTTAATCTTGGAAACAGCATTCTGCATTCTTGCTGTATCTGCTAAAATAAATTTTTGCCAAATGCTTTTGAGAAATTAAAGATGATTATATTGTTCTCATTTGCTCTTTCTCTACAAAAACATGAACACTCTTTCCTCCCAACTAATCAGCTTTCTGGATAACATTAATGCACATGTAAGAAAGACATGGTACTGAACCTGGTCTGGTGCAGATACTTTCTTGGCTGTCCAAGGATCACAGTCATGGTACCTGGAATATAGGGCAAGCCCACATAACACTGAGCAGGCGAGGATTGCCCAGAGTCCCAGAAGATTGATGTAGAGAGACCTAAGGAATTGAAAATAAACCAGCAAATGTCAATTGTAATTTCCATCCCAAAGATTAGGAAACTTGTTACACAAACAGAAGAGAACTTCATGATTACTCAATAAATGCACATTATCTTTTGGTTATCAAAAATGCTATCTGTTTTATTCTAGACTAACCTTCTGCTTATGCTGTCAATCAACACTGTATTTGGAAATACTTGGAATAGATGGGGGATTCTCTATTGAATAAATGTATCCTCCTGGTCAGAGTTCCATGGGCATTGTCAGCTTTATAATGGTATCCAATTAAACTACTTCAGGTCTTCTTGTCATTAAATAAGGATTTTTTAATGGTCGACAGAGCAGTAACTATTATTCATTTTCCTTTTAAAAGTAATGCAGTTATAGACTGCTAAACATTGTTAGCATCTACATAGAAACTCATTAAACTTGTTTAAATGTGGTTTGTAATATCACCTAATAAGTATGAGAGGCAAACCTGCATTCCTTGAACAGGTATCTTCCCAAACAATGTTCAGCATCATAATACATGGTGCGTGTTCCAGGAGATTGTAAAGGTTTGTATAACAGCACTGGCGTCAGACCTGAACATAAATATTGGTTCCATCTACCATATGTGACCCTGGGTAAGTAATTTAGCTTCTCTGATCTTCAGCTTCTTCATGTACACCTATAGATAACGATGCCTACCTTGCAGAATTTTAAGATTAAGTGAAATAGTGTGTATCATATACACAGTGCTTGGCATGTAATAACATTTGTTAAATGGTAATTATTGACATTATGAGTGCTAATGGCATTGAGTTCTATGTCTTAATAATCAGTTGAATAGTAAACATTGTTCTCACTAAGGTGTCTACATTTTTTTCCCAGGAGTGCTGTAGTGGATATTTTAACAAGCTGCCCTAGGCTGAAGAGAGGTACAATCCCCAATGTCATGCTTCCTTCCTTGGGGCACCTGTGTCCAATGACTACTGGATTCAGAATCTTAAAAACCAGTCTCCTTGATGTAGAGAGACCTAAGGAAGCCCTAAGGCCTTGGCTGAGAATGCATTACAACCCAACTTCTCTCTTGGGCCAATTCGGCTTCCTTCTCTTCTCTTTCTTCTACAGGTGGTGATTCCCTCACAGACTCTGGAAATCCAACCTCCATCTCAGAGTCTGTTTCAGGAGAACTCACCTTCAACAGATACCAAACAACAGATTGCTAGCCTTTTCCCTTGATTGACTAAATTTACTGTATGTTTTGCTATTGACTAAAAATAGTATAAGTAACTACAGCTCATCTCCAAATCATCAGAAAATATACCCAGACACTTTCCTGCTCAAATGCCCTTGCTCATATATGAGGTTAATACTTTATTATATAGTTTTATTTAACTTTAGTGCCACTCAAATAGATCACTTATCAATGACATCTGATACTGTCCCCAGTCAATCAATGTCAGTAGGTCTTAACTTTTTGACTGGGATTCATTCTTCCTATGGAGCCAGTGTTAAAAAGTAGGAGAAAATGGTTCCTCTCAGCGCCGGGAGTCTGCTGAGGGCCATTCCAAAGGAAATGGCTACTTATTAAGAAAGGTCTAAAGCTCTAATGTTGGTCTCTTAGTTATAAAATTGGGCCTTTTGAGTTTCATGTTCCCAAAGAAACAGAAGAGCATATGCACAATTAATTTTGAAGAAGCATCAGCTCTAATATAGATTTAAAGTCCAGTGGATTATTGGATGGATAAATTACATTCCTTCAAAGTTCCTTAAAATACCACAACTCCTAAGCTCACTTTCGGGGATTCTATATCCAGTTACTGTGCTGATATTTGTGTAGATCTTTTACTATGGAATTTTCCAAAGACAGATAATGTCTAAACCAATTTACTCTCAATATATTGAGTTTCAACATGTGACATCACAATATTTTCATGCTCTTCTTTGAATAGAAATAGAATTGCCATTCCTTGTCCTACTCCAACCACCCTGTTACTCTTAATCTATTTATAATTTTTAAGTTCCTAAATGCATGTGGGTCCAGTCAGCTTTATCAGCATAGGGAGTAGTGGTTACCACACTGATCTGAGGCCTCCTGAGAAAGAACCAGCCACCACTCATACTCTTTCCTCAAGCCAAGATGAGCTTGACCATGTCATCCTTCTGACCTCTGGGCTGTGTCCAAATCAATGGCTATCTGGAATTCTTTCCCACTATTCTCCACCTGCCCACATATGGTCATTATTCAGGATCTACTTGGTTGACAGGAATCTCTCACCCATTTTCTGCCTTCACGTCCTATGATTTGAGGTCACATTTATTGGATCCCTACTAAGTATTTGTGAAGCATAATATTTTACAATACCTCTCATGAGATGTATAATATTTCTTATGCTCGATTTATAAGTTTAGAAACTGAGATTCGGGGAGACTAAATAACTAGCCCATTCAAATAGCAAGTATTAGAGCAGAGTTATAAACCCATGACTGTGTCTGAAAATAAAATATACCAGCACATCTGGCAATATAATGTCCTTGACCATTTATTCAATCATTATATTGTTCCATGGGACTGTCATACCTTTCTAGTGTTATTTCACTTTTTGCATACTTGTATATATTTTCCTAACTAGATGTTAAGTTCCTTCATTATAAGAGCCATATAATTCTAGTTTTTATCCTCCATAACTCCTTATACAAGTAGATACACAATAAATGCCTTTTTATTTAATAAGATTTATTTTACTTAATAAATCATATAAACATTTCAAATATCTGATTTAAAATATAAGTACCACTTTGTTTTACCTGATCCTTTTATAACTAAGTATATCATTTATTTCTTGGAATTTCATGATACAAAAGGCTTAAACCTGAACAAAGCGTGACTAATTAACAAGTTTCAATAAAGACAACTAATGGTTATTAATGATTTCCATACCATAGTTTGGCTTACATTTTTGCCTGGAATCTGCTTTTACAGGAAATATATCTCTGCACTTGGGATTGGTTGACACCATAGATGCTGGTCCATGTGAATGTCCCTCCTATAATAATTGTCCAGAATGTATGTCTTTGCAAAGGATTGGGATCAAAACTAAATGAAAAGAAACAGAAAACAAATTTTAACTATCAGTAAAAAACTACAGAAAATTCTCCTAGAATATTTTTTGGAAGCAAGCAATGTATATCTATGTAAATATGCATACAGATATAAATATGTACAAATTTATTAAATAATAAAAAAGGCAGAAATATTCCTAACTTAAGTTCAATGAAATAAAAATGGATACTTTCAGAGAATTGGAAATTCTGGATGGGATTGAAGAAAAATGAATGTTCTAATTATTGTGAGCTTTCATAAAAATTGTTCTCCTGTGGCCTTAGGAAACTGTTATTTAAACAAGTCTGCTATGCTGTAATCAGAGAAGAGCATGAAACTAAAAAGAGAGAGAGCAATAAAGAGAGTAAAGTTCCTAAGTGCATCAGAGCAATAGATATGGTACTGAAATGAACACAAAATTGACACATTTTGCATATATAATTTCTCTCCTAGCACATGTACAGTCATATTTCTAATTTATATTCAAGCTCAAGAACTGTCAATTAATGCAGTTTAAAGGCTTTCATCTTCTAAAATGTCATTATAATCATGCTTTCTTAAAATGCTGTGTGCACAAGTTAAATGCTAATAGTGAAAAGTCACTTTATGACATGTACTTAAATCCAAAATATTGTTACAAAGAAAGCTCAACTTCTGTATTTAATATTTCTTTTAACTCTTCTTAATGCATTATCTTGGAAGGAATGATTCTATTCATCCATGATATACAATGAGTTTGACAAATTTCTGCAAAATTGGCTTTCACAGAAACTTTCTAAAAATTATGAAATTCTGCAAATCCATTTCAATCTTATATTTAAGATTAGTTGAGTAAAGTGTTCTGATTTCATGTATATCCCAGCATTCCTATGGACATATAAGAGCCTCTATTCCATTCTTTAACACTTCATATCAAAGTTTAAGTGTTTCAAGGGTGTTGACCATTTAGAAAACAGCTACTATATTAGCTAATGGAAGTCAAGAGACAAAAGGATTCAGGAATCTACTTGAGGGAAGTAAGACAAGATTTAGAACACCCAATTTAGTGGTTTTAGGCCATACAGAATATATAAGACAACTATAGACCACACAGAAAATACCAACACAAAATCCTTCTCTTGGTTTATCACCACCAGAGCAGATATTTTGCCCACCATATTCTCAAACATATCAGATTCACAAGGGATAGACAATAAGGCTTTTCATTATGATTTAATGGTTGGCAGCCTCCAAAGTAAAAGTCACAAAACTGTCTACTCTTTTACTTTTTTTTTTGAAAGATTTTATTTATTTATGTGAGAGAGAGAATGCGATAGAGAGAGAGAGAGCATGAGAGGGGGGAGGGTCAGAGGGAGAAGCAGACTCCCTGCTGAGCAGGGAGCCCGATGCGGGACTCGATCCCGGACTCCAGGATCATGACCTGAGCCGAAGGCAGTCGCTTAACCAACTGAGCCACCCAGGTGCCCCCTACTCTTTTACTTTTAAGAATCTCTTATTGGTGTACAAGTTGTCACTTCAATGCAGCAATATGGATTGCCTTTGTACAAAGTGACAGTTATCTTGCAGAAAAATGATTGGTTCCATACCCTCTCCCTTCAATCTCGCCTACTAGGAAATTTAGGAGTAATCAAGATCTTCTTTTTTTTTTTTTAAGATTTTATTTATTTATTTGAGAGAGAGAGAATGAGAGATAGAAAGTACGAGAGGGAAGAGGGTCAGAGGGAGAAGCAGACTCCCTGCTGAGCAGGAAGCCCGATGCAGGACTCGATCCTGGGACTCCAGGATCATGACCTGAGCCGAAGGCAGTCGCTTAACCAACTGAGCCACCCAGGCGCCCAGGAGTAATCAAGATCTTCTGAGTGGCCACTGGTTGTTTCTGCTTTTTGGTATCCATTCTCCTGTCCTCTAGTAACAGCAACCCAATTTACTTTGGGGAAAAGACCATTTCACCATAAAATAGTCTAAATGGTTGTCAATAAAATGTCCTGCTCTGCCCCTACTAAGGGATGGAATAATGCCCAAGCTAGGACAGCTGGAGGTGCACTTCCTTGGAATCTGAATCTTGAGGTTAAAAAAAAAAGATTATTGAAAATAGTTGAAGTTGATTCATCATAATTCAACTTATCTCTGCAAATTAACACATTGTCCCTGTCCAATTTCTGAAAAGGCTCTTCTCAAACATTAGCACCATTTTCAGAAAACTAGAAGAGAGTCACCAAGTAAGAAATTTTTTTCTTTCTTCTTGCCAGTGATTCAGCTTGCCTGTCTCAAAGTAGGACGGCTTAAAGAGGAAATAAGCCAATCCATGTCAAAATGAGCCCCTCCCCATATTGAACATGATAACAAGAATGACACTACTGATCCACAGTGGAAGGTGTTTTAAAGATTCTTCTAAGTTGTGTGGTATATATGTGATAAAATATCTAGTTTCTCCACTGGTCTTTCTCTAGGAAACCTAAATAGCTGTTTAAGATATGCTATATCATACAATATACTGACACTTTAGTCATTAGTGATAACTTTCTAGTCAATCCTCTAGAAATAATATAGAATATTATAAAATATTTATATACAATATCAATAGAAAAATTCTCTAGGCTACTTGAAACAAAGAACTGTCAAAATAACAGCATGGCCCTTTAGTGTTTTTCTCTTAAGATGTTTCCTTATTTCTCCACTATCTCTTCCCTAATTACCCTACCCCACCCTTTGACCAATTCCAGATTGTAATATCTGGAAGAAAAACACACTTTTGCTATCAATCCTTTCTCAGGAGGAAGTTACACTCCATGTAACTAAGTAACCATCTGACTGCTTTAACCCCTTAAAGACCTGGTGGAAACCCCTCACACATTAACTTATCAGCTTCAATTTTTTGTACCACATTCTTAGCCATCTATTTGTTTTCTAATGTAAATCTACTACTTCAATAATGAGATTATTTTACAGAAAAAAAAAACCCAAAAGGAGAGATCTATTGACCAGGAGATAAATAGCAACTTACTTCCAGAAGTTTAGTCTTCCACCATTATAGCAATCATTTAGAATAGTGCTGATCCCACCTTGAATCACTGTAGCCTGTATAATTACAGATGCAAATCCAGCCACCATGATCCCAACTTGAAAAACATCTGTCCAGATAACAGCTTTAAGACCACCCTTTGAGGAAAAAGTATATTAGGATTAATGCTCTTATCAGACATTATTAATCATCTACATAGTTATATACTATGCTGAACAAAAGTAATGAAAACATAGATCTTGGCTAAGGAATAGACTCAAGGTGGTAGATAGTAAGGTTGGGAGAACCTTTAAGAGAAGGTGTGATTTAAGCCAAGCCTTCAGATAGAAGCAGAGGCAAAAATGGAAGGTCATCCCAGAAGAGAAAATAGCACCGGCAAAAGCATAAAGAAGTCCAAGTCCATGACATGTTGAGTGTGGCCAGATATACATTCTGGAGCAAAATGAAATGGTAGAGGGAGATTGCTGGGAAGAAAATCCAGAGTAAAATTGCAAAAGGCAAAATAATCATAGATTTTATCCTATTGGCAGGGCTGCTATTCAATCAAGTATGCACATAGAAGGTCATACCAGTTGTAGAAATACTAAAATTGTTTTGTACTAGCCACTGCCAAAAACTTCCCAAGTGTCTCCCTCCAGGTCCTATATCCTTGGCTGAACCATCCCCTCCCTGAGATCCCCATCTTCTAAAAAATCCACTAAAGTCTTAAGACCTAGTATGTCTGATATGCCCTAAAAGTTGCACAACTGCTAGGGACTAGCATCCATAATAATATCAGTGTCCTTAGTATCTGGTTGTTACATATTTTGACTGTGATTCCTGCCTATAGGCAAAGGGGAAGTTAGGTTTCTAAGCTGAGGAATAATATGAATGCAAATATAATAATTTAGCAATAGTAAGGATGAATTAGGAGATAACACTGAGGACCACTGCAATGGTTCATGTAAAAGAAAAAAGTTTCAGTTATGATCAATGTTCTATAAAGAATCAAATTTTTCCCTAGACGGAATATTTCTTATAAAAAGTTACACCGTGGGAGGTAGGAGTAGGAGAGGATATATGAACAACCTAGTTTGCAGAACACAACTACTGGAATTTTCAACTTTGGAAAACAGTTGGTAAAGAAGAGATAATATTCTTTACATACCAGTGTGCAGTAGAATGTACAGACCACCCCTGTTGCCACTACTGCACCCCATAGATCAAATCCTGTGACTGTAAAAAGAAAAAAAGAAAAGAAAATGCACGCATAACTGTGAAACATGTATAATAAAAATATTTCTCAAAAAATCATCAGTAGGAAGCTATATCATTATGGGGGTATGTAGAAGTAGAGGTATTCTACATACCTCTCTACTCTTGCCTAGAACTAGGTCCAGATCTCATAAAATGCCCCCAAACAAATTTACTTGATAAGTTAAATGGAACTGGTTTTTACCCTCAGAGAGCATACCTAGATCCAACATTGCCTAAATTAAATACATGAAAAAGCATTTCTATTGTAATGAAGCTAAGAAACAACTTGATACTGTGAGGTAGTTATCCAGACTGAATGGGGTCATAGATTATGTGTCATCATGATTCAAATAAACACACTATTCTACCAGTCCTTGAAAGACAAGTTGTGCATGTTACTAAGATGAGACCAAGAAAGAGAAAAGTTGTATAATTTGCTACCATTTATCTAAGAAGTGGAGGGGCATATTATATCCTTTTTAAATGGAAAGATAACAACTCTACCCACATATGTGATAATCTATATAAAATGGACCAATTCCTTGAAAGACAAAATAGGCCAAAACACTCATGCAAGAAGAAATAGATTATCTAAATAGGCCTATATCTATTAAAGAAATTGAATCAATAATTAAAAACCTTCCAAAACAGAAAGCTCTAGGCCCAGATGGGTTGACTGGTAATTTCCACCAATTTAGGAAAAATTGTACCAATCCTCTGCAATCTCTTTCAGAGAAAAGAAGGATAGGGAATACTTCCCAACTCATTCTATGAAGCCAGGATTGCTCTAATACCAAAACCAGATAAAGACATTACAAGAAAACTACAAACAAATATTTCTCATGAACACAACTGCAAAAATCCTCAACAAATTGAAGATTAGCAAATTGAATCCAAAAGAGTATAAAAAGAATTATACACCATGACCAAGAGGGATTTATCCCGGGTATGCAAGGCTGGATGAAAATTTAAAAATCAATTAATGGAATCTATCATATTAACACACTAAAAAAGAAATATCACATGATCATATCAAAAGATGCAGAAAAAACATTTGACAAAAGGCAACATCCATTCATCATAAAAACTCTCAGTTAACTAGGAATAGAGGGGAACTTTCTCAACTTGATAGACTGTCTACAAAAATCCTACAGCTAACATCCTACTTAAGACTGAGAGACTCAAAGCCTTCCCACTGAGATCAGGTCCAAGACAAGGATGCTCCCTCTCACTGCTCCTTCTTAACATTGTACTGGAAGTCTTTGCTAATGCAATAAGGCAAGAAAGGAAATAAAAGGTAAACACACTGGGAAAGAAGAAATAAAATTCTCTTTTGTTCACAGATAACATGATCATTGATGTAAAAAAAAACTGGAACTAGTAAGCGTGATTACAGCAAGGTTGTAGGATACAAGGTTAATGTACAAAAGTCGATTGTTTTCCTATATAATAAATTAGCCCCAAATGTGAGTGACATAATTGGTAACTTTAATATGTACCTTGATTCAAAGCCAGGGCAGAAGCACAATTGGAGTAACTTGGACTTGCATACATTGTGGAGTGGGCATGTAAAATGGTACAACCATTTAGAAGAATTATTTTCCAGTTTCTCTTAAATTTTGTACATGCATCTGCCCTGTACTCGGCTATAATAGGTGTTATGTTTAACTACACTGCTTCCAGGTATTCACCCAATAGAGATAAAAATATGTGTCAAAAGCAAATCCTCAGACACATGCTATCAGGATCTACAGGATGATCAAACTTGGTCTTGGTATTGACAAAGATGACACTACTGCTCATGATAACAATGTTGTCATAGCCGAAGAGATGCTGCCCCTCAAAGGGGATGACAACACATCGTGCGTGGAAAAAGTAGACTAAGTGCTGTCCCAAGAATTATTTGTACATGTATTCAATACTTTATCTTAATCCTGGTAATATATATTCAAGAATGTTTTTATTTTTGTTAACATTTTAAAAATCTGTATGACGTGACAAGAACTATTTAAGGGGAAGATAAGACTTCTTTCTGAGTGTGATGCTGTGGTATTTAGGAACTAAAGCCCAGCTAATTTTTTGTTCCTAGTTCCACACTGGCTTATTTTTTTTTTTTACTTTTTTTCTTTAAATTTTTTTATTGTTAGGTTAATCACCATACATTACATCATTAGTTTTTGATGTAGTGTTCCATGATTGTGTATAACACCCAGTGCTCCACACAGAACGTGCCCTCTTTAATACCCATCACCAGGCTAACCCATCCCTGCCTCCCCTCTAGAACCCTCAGTTTGTTTCTCAGAGTCCATCGTCTCTCATGGTTCATCTCCCCTTCTGATTTACTCCCCTTCATTCTTCCCCTCCTGCTATCTTCTTCTTTTTTTTTTCTTAACATATATTGCATTGTTTCAGAGGTACAGATCTGTGATTCAACAGTCTTGCACAATTCACAGCGCTCACCATAGCATATAGCCTCCCCAATGTCTATCACCTAGCCACCCCATCCTTCCCACCACCCCCACCACTCCAGCAACCCTCAGTTTGTTTCCTGAGATTCAGAATTCCTCATATCAGTGAGGTCATATGATACATGTCTTTCTCTGATTGACTTATTTCACTCAGCATAACACCCTCCAGTTCCATCCACGTCGTTGCAAATGGCAAGATCTCATTCCTTTTGATGGCTGCATAATATTGCATTGTGTATATATACCACAGCTTCTTGATCCATTCATCTTTCGATGGACATCTTGGCTCTTTCCACAGTTTGGTTATTGTGGACACTACTGCTATAAACATTGGGGTGCACGTACCCCTTCGGGTCCCTACATTTGTATCTTTGGGGTAAATACCCAGTAGTGCAATTGCTGGATTGTATGGTAGCTCTATTTTCAACTGTTTGAGGAACCTCCATACTGTTTCCCAGAGTGGTTGCACCAGCTTGCATTCCCACCAACAGTGTAGGAGGGTTCCCCTTTCCCTGCATCCCCGCCAACTGTCGTTTCCTGACTTGTTAATTTTAGCCATTCTGACGGGTGTGAGGTGGTATCTCATTGAGGTTTTGATTTGGATTTCCCTGATGCCGAGTGATGTTGAGCACTTTTTCATGTGTCTGTTGGCCATTGGATGTCTTCTTTGGAAAAATGTCTGTTCATGTCTTCTGCCCATTTCTTGATTGGATTATTTGTTCTTTGGGCGTCGAGTTTGATAAGTTCTTTATAGATTTTGGATACTAGCCCTTTATCTGATATGTCATTTGCAAATATTTCCTCCCATTCTGTCGGTTGTCTTTTGGTTTTGTTGACTGTTTCTTTTGCTGTGCAAAAGCTTTTTATTTTGATGAAATCCCAATAGTTCATTTTTGCCCTTGCTTCCCTTGCCTTTGGCGATGTTTCTAGGAAGCAGTTGCTGCGGCTGAGGTCGAAGAGGTTGCTGCCTGTGTTCTCCTGTAGGATTTTGATGGACTCCTGTCTCACGTTTAGGTCTTTCAACCATTTTGAGTCTATTTTTGTGTGTGGTATAAGGAAACAGTCCAGTTTCATTCTTCTGCATGAGGCTGTCCAATTTTCCACATTGGCTTATTTTAACGGAAGGAGATAACATTTGTTGTGAGATGTATGTAATCTAATGTTAACTGTGTGGTCTAAAGTGTTTAGCAATCAAACAGATTTCTTAGTAAAACCAAACTTTTTTTGTCAGTGAAGTGTTCTGAGCTATACCTTGATGTTTAGAAGAAAAGTATTGGTTAAAACAATTTTCACCTTCTAGGATCTACTTTTTAAATCTTCTATCCCTTGTAGTTATCAACTGCATGTACCAGGCATCCAGAAACTACTATGTTAAACTGAACCAACTTGATGGGAATAACTATTTATAGGGCTTGTTTTCCAAAGAAGAGCATTGTTTAAAGTAGCAAAATTATAAGCCTATTTAGGTGTGTTGTAAAGCTGTTCAAAAAGTAACTCAGCAAGTTTTGTGAGTGGAAATGTAGTGTTCAAATCACATTCTGCTTTAAAAGGTTGTAAGAAATGCAAATGAATTTTAAAAAAAAGCAAAGCAAGACAAAACAAAACCTGTACAAGAATGATCTTAGTAGTCTTAATTTATAATTGCCTAAAACTGGAAACAACCCAATGTCGTTGATGGATAAACAGATGTAGAGATACAGATGATGAAATATTAGCAATAAACAGGAATGAACTGCTGAAACATGTAACAACATGAATGAATCTCAGAAACATTTTGTTGAGCAAAATAAACCAGTAACAAAAAAGGCACCATTTGATTCCATTTATATAAAATCTAACAACAGGGAAAACTAATCTATGGTGATAAAAATCAGAAAGTGGCAGCTTGGGTTGGCAGGAGGGTTTATTAGAAAGAAGCACAAGAAAATCTCCTGGGATTAGATGGTGAAAATAGTCTGGGGGCGCCTGGGTGGCTCAGTCAGTTAAGCGGCTGCCTTTGGCTCAGGTCATGATCCCAGAGTCCTGGGATCGAGCCCTGCATTGGGCTCCCTGCTCAGTGGGGAGTCTGCTTCTCCCTCTCCCTCTGCCTGCGTCTCTGCCTGCTTGTGCTTTCTCTCTATCTCTCTGTCAAATAAATAAATAAAATCTTTTAAAAAATAAAAGAAAATAGTCTGTATCTTGAGTTGGGTGGTGGTCACACAACTATGTACAATTGTTAAAATTCGTCCAACTGTACACTTACTTTCTGTACATTTTATTATGTATAAGCTGTATTTCAACAAAAAAGGGTTTTTAATTTTAAAAAGCAAGAGGGGTGCCTGGATGGCTCAGTTAGTTAAGCATCTGACTCTTGATCTCAGCTCAGGTCTTGATCTCAGGGTTGTGAGTTTAAGCCCTGCACTGGGCTCTATGCTAGGTGTAGAGCAAAAAAAAAAAAAAGTTTTAAAAGCAAGAAAGAGAAACTTAAGAGACAAATCAACTAATTGCAATTACACAAACTTATTTGAATCCTGATTCTAACAAACACTGAAAAAAAATCAAGGAAATCTGAACATTGACTTCATATTGTTATTTTTAAAAATAATGTTAATATTTTAGATATGAATATAGTATAATTGTGTTTACAAAACACATCCTGGTACAAACTTCCAGTTATAAAATACATAAGTCATGGAGATGTGATGTATAGCATGGTGACTATAATTAATAATCCTGTATTGCATGTTTATTGAAAGTTGCCAAGAGAGTAAATATTGAAAGCTCTCATCACAAGAAAAAGAACTTTTGTAACTATGTATGGAGACAGATGTTAACTAGACATAGCGGCGGTCATTTTGCAATATGTGCAAATCTTGAATCATAATAGATACAATGTTATATGTCAATTATATCTCAGTGAAAAAATTAGCTTATTTTTAAAAGACATTGAATTCAGATGAAATGATGAAATACTTCAGATTTACAGCAAAATAATCTAGTGAGGGAAACAGAGTGAATTGAACCAAGAGTTGATAATTTTTAGCGTAGAGTTAAGGGTACATTAGAGTTCAATATACTGTTCTTTTTTTTCTAGCATATGTTTGAAGTTTTCTATATAGGTTTTTAAAAAGGTAAAAGGAAAACGATTGGACCTAGAGAATGTTAAGATCCATTTCAGTTAAACAAGTTTCCATGGAGCATCTGTTGCACACCAAGTACTATATTTATCCTTGGTCACAGTAAAATACGCAGTTGATATTCAAGCGGTCAAAATGCAGCAGCCTCTTGGGGTCTAATTCCTAGGGAATAGTCCAATAAACTGATAAGAGCAGAGTCCTTGATTTCTTCATAGATAGAAGGCAGTACTCTCTTATTGCCAGAACTGTACTTTAAAACCCTAAAGCCACAACTTTAATTACACTTACATTATACTTACAGCCAATAGGTAACTTATAAAGTTTATAGCTCAGCTCTTCATACACAAAATGACCCATTCATGATGTTGGTAATATTGACATGGAACATGCCTGACATTCAGAATTCAAGAGCATGTTATATAATGGAATTCTTTGTAATGATACTGTTGTACTTTATAAACTTAGGTAATAATTACTATCTATTTACTATGAAAGCAGGAAATTAGAGTGTAGGTTTAGCAGGGCTTTTCCATTTTATACGAACTCCAAGAACTACATCACATTTTTCCCATCAGAGTTCACTTGTACATTTCATAAGGAAGCTTTAGAGATAAATTCATATCTAATTGATAAGAATTCAAAGGATATGGGGTTCTCCCAAAGCCTTTTGAGGATATGACTAACAGGCACTTTTGCCTCAGTAAACTATTCCAGTTTCATGGTTTTTATCTGCTCAAAATCAAAGAGTATAGGAGTATGTCAATCACACCATCTTCAATATATTTGTTTAAAAGGACACCATAGCCATCTTTCATCTTGTTGCTAGGAGCAAGAAGATATTTCAAATCACACAGATCTCCTTCTCTTGCATTTTGGACCACATTAGAAATGGGAATAAGAAAAGCTCTCTCCCTGACATATTTTACAATGGAACTGAGCTGAGTAACAGAGAAGCCTCTTGACTATGGGTTCCAGATTACAGCCACCAAGGAAGAAAGTGCAGCCATTCATGATTTAGATCATAGGGGGTGTTCATTCTGAACTAATGGAGCATGGCGGGTTGGTACTTCAGAGATTCACTCCTCAGGGAGGTCTGCCCTTCTATTAATCACAGATCTTTTGGAGCTATTGATCCAGGAATGCAAAGAAGCTGCTAAACACTAAACCCATCTTGCTCCCCTCAAGTTGATGCAGGTTCCTGGAAACATCCCTTCATCTCCCCATCTCCCCAAAGAGAGAATAAGGTCTATTAAAAATGATCCCCAAAATGTGAGTGACATAATTGGTAACTCTAAAATGTACCTTGATTCAAAGCCAGGGCAGGGGCATAAATAACAATTCCAGTATAGAGAATCTATGAGAAAAAAGAAACCAAATAAACTGTATGAATTATAAAATAAATTATTGATTTTTTCTATAAACTCAACAATGAATTAAAACAGTAGTTTCAATATACTTAATGAAATATGTTTGTAACTTGAAAATGTTATTTAAGTAAAGTTGATTCTCCTTTTCTGTTTGTGGTGTGGTCATAGGTTACAAAAATCTTTTATGACCAATTTTGTTAAAATTATGGACTTTTCATGCAGTGCTTAATGCAGATAGTCACTGATCTATCACCTCAAACTTGAAATCAATTCTCCTCAATCTAAACAATTAGAACAAAAGAAAGAATACAAATTTAAAAGGAGATGGTCCCTCATTCATATGCTTTCAAACCATTATTAATCACTGCATAAATAACTGGGAAAAGTAAAAATTTTAGAAACTGGTTTTAAAACGTTTGCATGCTCACTAATTAAACAAAAGTATAAATTTGCACTAAAAAAAAATCCCGAAGGCCAACAAAAACTGTATTCCATCTTTTATATATATTATTTTTTACTCATACACCTAACAAATATTTATTAATCCAGGGTACAACAGGTATGAAAAATATGGTCTTTTTTCTCAGAACATCATTTCCACTGCATTTGATCTTTCAAATATATATATTCTATGATTTGTTCTATAAAAATGTATTATGATTCTATGATTCTATGTTTACTTTCTAAAAACATATTATGAAAAAAGTCATATTATATAGTATTTGAATGTCTGATTATATTACATGGGTAGATCAATGCAAGTAAGTCCTTCAAATGGGAGATGCTTTCCTCTTTTTTGCAAGAATGAACCAGGCTTCCACAGTCATTATCCTGACCAAGTTGAAGATTTGAAAACATGGCCATGTACCAGCTTCCTAACACTTGTTCCCCACTTTCCATTTCTGTAGGCATTTCTAAAAATGATCCAAAGAGGGTCTGAACAGTTGATAATTGCAAGCTACGAGGTTCGGTTCTTTGGCAGGATCTTTACCAGACCCCATAGGGCTTCTTCCTTTTACATTGGAAGTGTTAATGACCAATTTAAGTTATGCAATCTACAGAGACATAAAATGGAGTCAAGTTAAATAATTTACAAAGGTATTCTGTTACGCTTTTGCAAATGCTTAGGTAGCTTGCCATTGGAGAAGAGAATTACAAATAGGGATGAGAATGAAAACTCCTTCCTGGACCTCCATTATCAAACCCATCCCTAAAGCACTCAGCTGCCAAGAGGAAGATGGATGTAAATGAAGTGACAGCCATCCTGACAAGCCTCCAGCAACCTGAATGAAGAACGGAAAATAATGACAAGGGTTTTCCCTTTTTGGGTTCCTCCTATTTTCAACACCTCTTTTTTTATCTTTCATGCATTTACCAAATAAGCTTAGCCCAGATGCCTTGGCTGAAAACATTTTAGACAACAAAAGGTAAAGCAAACTAATGGAGAGTGACTTACTGTTTGAACAATGAAGAGGACTGTTCCACAGAGACGGACAACTTTGTTAAATCGGAGCTCTAAATACTGTTTCCGAAAAAGGAAGAAATGGTTACTATGTGAAAACTTTATACACTTTTCAAAAATCAGCTGCTTAATAAGTAAAGGGGTTAGAAATTTAAAGCAACTTCAGTCATCAAAAAGAATGAAATCTTGCCGTTTGCAATGACATGGATGTAACTAGAGGGTATTTGCTAAGCAAAATAAGTCCGTCAGACAAAAACAAATACCATATAATTTCACTCATGTGGAATTTAAGAAAAAAAAGAGAGGAACATAGGGGAAGGGAAGAAAAAATAAAATAAGATAAAAACAGAAAGGGAGGCAAACCATAAGAGACTCTTAACTACAGGAAACAAACTGAGGGTTGCTGGAGGAGAGGTGGGTCAGGGGATGGGGTAACTGGGTGATGGGCATTAAGGAGGGCACTTGAAGTAATGAGAACTGGGTGTTATATGCAGCTGGTGAATCACTAAATTCTACCTCTGAAATTAATAATACACTCACTATATGTTAACTAAATTGATTTAAATTTAAAAAAAGAAATTTAAAGCAATTTCATAAATGTTTGTATTCTGTATTCCCACGTTGCTACTATTTTTCTTTACATAAAGCAAAATTACTCTTGCTTTAAAGTACAGTTCATTGGGTTTTAACACATACTGGACAGTTCCAAAACCCTCAGAGAACTCTGTTACGTTGTTCCTTTGTGGTCAAACTCTCCCCCAACCCCTAAATCTTGGCAATCATTGATCTTTTCTCCATCCCTAGTTTTGGCTTTTCCAGCATATCATCTAAATGGATTATATTCTGCAATTTTAAGATGAGCAAAGTGCTGTTCTCCCCTATCTCTTGGCATCTACTTCAGACATTTCCCTGATTCACTTGGGAATCAGCCCTTTCCACTGCAGGGAATTGTGATGGAATTGTCTATCAAGGTGCCCTGCCTCTTTTGACTAGGGGATGGTCACCTGACCCAGCTCAGCTAATCAGCTCCTCTCTCCAATGGATATTTGGATCTTGGAGGTATAATATAAAGACAGAAAATGATTGGAGCAGAAGCAGACTGATCTGACAGTGGCCTGAAGAGGCTTCCTTGGCTTCTGTCCTTTTCACAGCCTATTTGTTCAGCTCTTCACTCTGTTCAATAGGTTACCCCTATATCCTCCAAAATTAATGATTTTTTATATAAATTGGCCTAAGTTAGTTTCTGCTCAGAGCCAAAAACCTGCCAATTTTTCCTACTCTCCTTGGCATCTGCTGTATCGAAAAATATAGTCGACTCATCTCCTATATTATATGTCATAATATAGTTAGAATCATAGAATTTTAGAGCTGGAAGGAAGCTGGAGTCTCAAACATTCTTTAACTTGAATATTATTACTCACTTAGGGAGAATTTTAAAGCTGAAAACAGTCTTCATACCAGAAAAAAAAAAAGAGGAAAAACTGACATTAAGTAATAATCTGGGGAAACGACACTAGATTTTTTGCTCCAAAGTCACAGGTAACACTTTAGAGTCTTGCTGTGTACACTGTCCTCCTAACAACTCCCTGAGACCAGTACTACCTGCTACGGGGGAGGGCACAGGGCTCAGAGAGAACACCAAAGCTGCAACCTAATAGCTCTCAGAGTCACAATGCAAGTCTAGGACCACTTAATGCCCAAATCTGGGCAGGGAACAACTACATTATTCCAAATAAATAAGTAAGCTAACTGACCATGGCTTTGAGTGAGTAGGTGGCACTGATATATAGTAGCACCTTCTGAAACAACCAAAATGTAAAAAATATGCAGCACAGTATAGTTTTTGGGAGGAGTTCCAGCCCTCAACCCAGTCCTACTTGTAACTGCACAAGCTTGGGGCAGTCATTGAAGATCTTAGGCTCCTCCTCTTGAAAATAAGGATCACAGTATTAATTCTTTCCCCTCTTACTTTGCAGGGGTTTGGAGACTATGGAATGATATAAATGGATGGGGAAATATTATAAACTCTTATTCAAAACTAAGACATTAAGAAGGTGGTATTCAAATCCACAGATAAATATAATTCACAATTATAAGCATACATATATAGGGCGCCTGGGTAGCTCAGTTGGTTAAGCAGCTGCCTTCAGCTCAGGTCATGATTCTGGGGTCCTGGGATCGAGTCCCACATCGGGCTTCCCTTGCTCTGCGGGGAGCCTGCTTCTCCCTCTCCCTCTGCCTGCCACTCTCCCTGTTTGTGCTCTCTCTCTCTGTCAAATAAATAAATAAAATCTTTTAAAAAAAAGCATACATATATTCACAAATATATATGAATAATATATATACAAATAAATATAATCCACAAATATATATATAAACATATATATTTATATACACACATATACACATGCACACACACACACACACACACACACATATTCTGGACAACTCAGTTCCAATACACAGATTACATAGATCCAGAAAGATCCCGAAAAAGTGGGGAATGAAACTGGATTCCTGCATTATACTTCTTATCTGTGGGTCTGAAAGTGGCTAAACACCTAACAGGCCTATACTTTGAAGGCAGGGATAAATAGATAACAAAAATACATCTGAACAGCCAATTCTAGCTTAAGAAATGTAAGTAGGAAGAGATTTCATATTTGAGCAAGAATGCCAGGGTATCACTCAATGCTGGACTTCTTCTGTGTAGATGTTTCCAGCTCTCAGCATAAAACAAAAATTGCTCACAAGAAAGTGTTTGCTATGGCCAACTGTCAGGGACAAAGCATGTTATCTAACTTCCCTGACCCCCCACTGCTGGGCATCCATCCATCATGGACACCCCCAGCATGCCCACAACTCTAGGTGTTCTGTTCTACTTCCCTTGTTCTCTCTGCACTCTTTTAAGCCCTACCTGGGGATATAACAGACTTACCAGAGCCTTCAGAAGCAGCCAGTAGGCACCATTGCCTAGCCTCCAGGCATGTGTCTACTTTGCCTCATACTCTCTTATGTAGCTTAACCTTGTCTGCAACATGGGGCTCTCATAGTACCTCCCTTATAAGGATTGTTTTGAGTACTGAGACAGATAATGTATGTATGTAAAACATGAAGCCCAGCACTACACATGTATCAAGCATTCGGTAAAAGTTAACTTTTTGCCATTTTTAGCTGGAACCCTGCTAACAGCCTCTATTGCAGGAAATGTGTGGGAAATCTGTTTCTGGTTGAGTTAATGTTGCTGCCCCCAAGGAGGAATGGGTCAGTGCTTATTAAGAGGAGCATTCCTCTCTGGGGACTGAAGTCTTCTTGCCAGGTTCTTGAAACCCTTTCTGAATTCTGGAATTGGTTAACTACAGATCAGAGCTCACGGACTCAAACTGCCTAAGGGCTCATCAGGTAACATACACCAGTGGATCAGCCAGGTGTTCATATATTAAAACGTTGGAATATTCTTCATATCCTCTAAGAAATATGTCCTCTCACATCTCTCTCAAAACCAAGTACTCCCTTCACCCCTGTCCATTTTCTCTTTTGCATTTTTGAGGAAGACAAAAATGCAGATAAAGATTTCTCTATCATAAGAAAGTAACCATGCACCTACAATGATGAGGCCTCAATACAGAAATTAATAGGGGGTGAGAGCAACGGCCTTATAACTGGAGTTCCTGCACCACAGGGACTGTGAGCCTGGTGTCACCAATCTTATAAATTTTTGTTGTTGTTTCTTTTTAAGATTTTATTTATTTTTTTGACAGAGAGAGAGAGGGAGAGAGCACAAGCAGAGAGAGCAGCAGAGGGAGAGGGAGAAGCAGGCTCCCCTCTGAGCAGGGAGCCCGACATGGGGCTCGATCCCAGGACTCTGGGATCGTGTCCTGAGACAAAGGCAGACGCTTAACTGCTTAACTGACTGAGCCACTCACGCACCCCCAGGCTTCTAATTTTTCAAAAGAAGCTAGAATCTGGAATTTCATTTGACTTCTCAACATCATAAATGCTAAATTAATTTTCTTTCAAAACACAAGGGTCAAAAAAAAAAAAAAAAGACAGAAAACAGAGTTTGACCTGGGACAGCCAGTTTGTTACCCTTGAGCAAAACAGAGAAATTCCATCCTGCTCACTTCTGGGATGATGACTGAACTCTCCCAAACACAATGGCCAGAGTGAGTGGAAGGCACTGCTGCCCCAGGGGTGCCTCGCCCTGTATGGCGTCACTATAGCCCAGGCATCTGTCACCAACACTTGTACCATTGAGGCCCTGTAGCCGGCACCAGTTGAACCAGCCTCACTAGGAAACCACCTTTCCAGTGGCTCTGAAGTAGAGCACACAGTACCTAAACTCAAGGACTGAGGTGGTTGCTGAGAATGAGTGTCACCACCCTCTGAATCATGCCCTGTGAGAGAGGAAACTTTGCCTGGTTTGTCCATGTTGCTCATGGGTTAGTATCTGGGGAAAGGAGACCAGTGAGGGCACTGAACAGGCCCCCCACTCCCCTGAGCTTTTATTCCCCCATCCCCACACTGCACTCCCATTCAACAGCTCTTTAACCTAAACCAAACATTCCACATCTTTGCAAAGCCCTTTCCTGCAGACAACTGAAGAAAATCTATAACCAGTGGAGCTATGCAACAGGAAAGATCATTTTCCTTAATCATCTTTCCACATACAGAGAAGGTAGGCCTGTTTAAGAACCTTGCAGCCAAATCTTCCTAGTGACCCCAAACAAACCACCTCTGCCACTACCACCACAAATCCTTGGGGTCAGCGTCTATCCAGCACTATCCTGCTCCAGACACTATTCTGAATGCTACACTTGAATCATCTCATTTAATCCTCCCAACAACTGGATGAGGTAGTTGATATCATTTTCATTTTGAGATGAAAAAACAGGCACAAAGGTTAACTGAATCACCCAAGGTTACCCAGCTAGTAAATGGTAGAATCTGGTCTCAAACGCAGGGACTGAGACTAGAGTTACAGCACCTCAACCATTTGGGAATCTGCCTCTCCAGGGAATGTGTGTGTGTGTGTGTGTGTGTGTGTGTGTGTGTGTGTGTGTGTGTGGAGCACGGAGGGGAGAGTGCAAATTCTTCTCCAACTATCCTGGAAAAGTGAATGGTGCCTAGGGACCTGGGACAGAGGATTCCTTTCAAGGAGGAGGGTCTGAGACTTGAACAACTTGCCCTCCCCCAGATAAAAAGTATTAAAATCTTTCCCCTTGACTCCGAATCAAAGATATTAAAGCAGAAAGGGCCTTTGTGAGCACTAGTCCAAATCATTCCGTTTACTTCGGAAGCCTCTCTTTTTCAGTGAGCTCGTGAGAGTAAGCCCCAAGATTCTGTTGCCTTCACGGGACACCTCTCCCCAAAAGGGGGGCGAGGCAGGGGAGGTGATGGACATGGACAGGTAGAGATTTCAACATGGGGGTGATTCTGCCCCCAGGAAAATCCCTCCAAGATCTTGAAAAGCCCTGTCCCTTCCACCCCCCCCCACCCCCCACCCCCGCCCTTTACCTCGTAGGTGCTGGTAATTCCCAGTTTGTAGAACACGGGGAGGAAGACCTCCGCGCTGATGGCCACCACAAAGAAGTAGGTGATGGCAAAGATGCTGAATATGGCCCCAAAACGGTAGACCTCCGAGGGGGTGCCCAGGACGGTGACGGCCGACATGAAGCTGGCGGTGAGGGACAGGGCCACCGGCACGGCAGTCATTCTGCGGCCGCCCATCAAGAAGTCTTTGGAGGTCTGCTGGCCACCCCCCGCGAAGGCGTAGTAGATGCCGATGACAGCCGAGATGAGCAGCATCCCCGCGAACACCACGTAGTCCCACACCACGAAGGTGCCGATGCCCCGCGTCGCGTCCATGGTCGCTCGGTCTCCTTGGCCCTGCGTACAAACTGTGGCCCCGCGACGCTCTGCCCGAGCCCGAGCTTTACCTTTGCGGCTCCGCGCTCTGTTCTTATTCCCGGCGCCGCCGGCGCGGCGGGCGTGGCGCCCGCGGGGATTGGACGCGTCTTCCAGGTATCCGTCCCCTCACCGGCCCCAAGCGGCCCCGAGCGGCTCCGCGAAGGTGGGAAGGCGGGAAGGCGCCGTCAGTGGCCTCTGCGCCCACCGCAGCCAGCCCAGCTCCTCTAACTGGGACTTCGGGGAGCTCCTCCGCCACGTTAACCCCCCCTCACCTGGTGCCGGACTCGGGGTGGCCAGGATCGCGGAGCGCCGCGGACACCTGGGAGATCTGGAGCCTCCAGGTGCGTCCGGCCGCGAATCCACAAGGAGCTCTCCGCCTAAAGGTTACCAATTGGCACCTGCGGGGACCCACCATTTAATTACATAAGCAGGCGACCTATGGGGGAGTGTGGGTCGAAGGGTAATTGTCACGCTTGTACTTTCAGCTTTCCTGTTCAACAGTCCAGGTCCTTAGGGGAAGATACACCTAGAGTTTTTAGATTGCCTTATTTGATAAATTAATGGGCGATTCTGGTGACAGTGTGCAGTAACTTGAGGTTCCAGTCCTTAGGCAGGTAAGCGATTACAAAGTAGAGGAAGAAATCTGTGCTATTGGGGACTGCCTTTTCATTCAATAAACATTTCTGATCCCCAACAGTCTCTCCTAAACATGACAGTTTCTGTAGTATTAGTAATACCTACTATTTAAGGAGTCTTATCATGTGACATAGAACATGCTGGGCACCTTGAACATTAACTAGTGTGATTCTTCCAATTACCCTTGAAGTAGGAGTCATCTCTATTTTTCAAATGAGAGAACTGTCATAGGAAGATAAAAACACTTGCCAAAGGAAATGGTGGCAATTAAGATTTTTATTCCAGGTCTGATCTCAGAATTTGTTCTTCGAATCACATATTTTGTAGAGTTCAAATGTAGATAGATGTTAAGTGTAGGCATAAATATGTACACTTAAATGAAGACACTTGAAAGCATATGGAAAACAAGATCATTTCCAGTCCCCAGGACATATTTTAAGTGGCTTGTCTTGAAATATTACTAACAATACATGAGTCAGCCTTGCAAAGCAATGTGACTCCCAGGTTTTTCCTGTAAAATAGGCCCTCCAGTCAAAAGTACCCTGGCATAGGTCTATTTTAGGCCACCCTGTTCATTGTCATACATCTTTATAATTTACGAGGTGATCCTTGGTAAACAATCCACAGAATGCATTTAGCCCAACCCAGTATGTGAAGGAAGAAAGCTATCTCAGATTTTATTTTTTGTGAGGTGGCATTATTTATGTAACATTTTCAAAGGGAACTAAAGAAGGAAATAGAAGCTAAATCCAAGCAATTCAATCCTTTAAACAAATATATGGCTTGAAATTAAGTCCCAGCTGTGTAAAATTTACTATCTTTGCACTTATGACTCTCTTGGACAGAGACAGCATTTTCTCCTGTTCTCACTGCCTGGTACTCAAACTCACCAGGAAACAGCATCTCCTAATCCCACCTGCTTTACAACCAGCTGTACTCTCTCACCTACCTTAGTCCTCTTAGCATGTTTACGCTCATCTGTTGGCCTTCATGGTGGTATAGTATTGCAGTTGTTTTGATCAAGGCTCTTAATGCAGGAATTATCTTATGGATTCCACAAGCCCAAAAGCAGCAAATGGAAAGCCATTCTACATGCCTGCTTCATTTTCCCCCTCTCTTTCTCCAAATGTGTTCTCTGCATTGCCATAGGGGCATGGTCAAAAATGCCCTTGATTCAGTGGACCACAGAAACCCACTAGCACCTTTGAATTCCAATTCTCAAATCACTGGGTGCTCCCTTCAGCAGCACATATACTAATTCTCAATCACTGGGAGAAAAAATCCGTTTGGTACAGCTTTGGTTACATGTCCCCAGACCTCTAATCCAATCATCCCTGGCCGGAAGGGCAGGGTTCTCATTGTGGGCTGCACAGATCCACCCTGAGGGTAGGGAAGGGGAATTAGTTCCCCACGTAAGAGGATGGTAAGCTCTGCAAGGTGTCTCCTCTATTAAATGTCTGTCATTTTATTATCTCCTGTGGGTGGAAGATAAGCTCCTTGGGAAAAGGGACTGTGCTTTCCCATCTTGGTAAACCCCCAGAGCCTAGCAGTTTGTTGCCTAAAAAATATGCTAAACCTACTGTATTGATCCTACTTTACAATGCTTGTTGGCATCCAGAATTTCCCCCCAAATTTCTAAAAGTAAAATTTGGAAATCTGAGAGTGATCTTATTGGATCCTGAATCTAGATTTACTCATATACTTACCTATGGGCGGTTTCCTCTTGTTTTTGAAAGCAAAAGTAAAGGCAAGTGTACTACCAACATAATTTTCTACTGTCTGCCTATTCTTTACCTTGAAATCACAATCACAGTTACTGGGGGAACTCTAAGAATATCCTTCTGAATTGGCAAAGGAAGTAAGAGCACACTAGTCTTCCTCTACAGAGTACTTAACATCCTTCCACTTAGGAACATTGAGTAAAGTTGGAAATTTCAGGTCAGTACAATTGCCATTTCGTCACATGGCTTGAGTTGGGAAAGATGTATATGAATCAGTACTTAGCATCTATACCCCCACACATATCTTCTTTTGTTTCTTTCTTATCTGGGTCTCACTCTAACCAACTCATTGTAATCAATTCTGAGTTGTAGTACTAGGTACTTTTATTAAGTAATGGGATCAACCAACCCAATAAATTTAGTAGGAGGAGTTTTATCTGATGTTCTTGTATGCTTCCTGCTAAATAATAAGGGCTATGAAACTCATCATATTTCTCCTTCTAGCAAAACTGCCATAGCAGCTTAGTAAGGCCAACTTTTGTACTATCATAGCCCAGACCCTTAGCCTAGTAGAGATATTTCCCTCCTTTTGCTACTTAATTTTTGTTGTTTTCCCCAAGTTTCAACCTTTCCTGCATATGTATCTTTTATTGCAAATAATCACAAGTCTTCTTTTGGATAAAGAAAGTTACACACAAAGAAGGAAAACCATGTACTAGAATATATTCTTTGTGCATACCCCAGTACCTCCTAAATCACCACTAACGTGGCATCAAAGGAGTAAAAAAAGGTGTCAGCACATAAGGACAGAGAGAAGGCAAGATGAGATGATCGCCAATAAAAAGTCTGCCACAGTTTGGGAAGAATGAATGTAGACAGACAAGTGGAAAGTGACAGAGGTTTCAGCTTTCCTCACTTGTGAAATACCTTAAGGAAAGGAAGCTGACAAAGCAATTTGTACAATAATACCCCTGGGAAAAGTCAGAAATCAGAGGGGCCCTATACTTATAGAGTATGAGGTAGAATGAAAAACCAGCGGACTCATATAAGGAGTGCTTTGCGACTGGCAGTCAGGTAAGTGTCTCTCTTTTTTCCTGGTGGAAAACTACAGATACCTTCTGGAGAGGTTAAAGTAAAAAAAAAAAAAAAAAAAAAAAAAAAAAAAAAAAAAAAAAAAAAAAACAACTCTGGCTAAGGACACCTGCCACAGTTAAGCACTAGAGTGAGGCATTTTCCTAGAAGACAGAGATTAGAGAAAGTTTGTCTACTGAATGGTGAGACACCCTCCCTCCCTGTCCTTTTCCTACTAGGCTCCCAGCATGAGGACTCCCAAATTGTATACTTTCTCAGGCAGGACTGGAGAGGATTTCTTTCTGAAGAAACCAAGCAGCCCAAGAGAATGCTGGCATTTAGGGGTTCTATAAAAAAGCAGGGCCCCCACCTGACCATCCTAAACTGAGGCTCTTCCACTAATGAGCCCAGCCTCCACACACACTTTCCTGCTGGCTTCTATTGCCTCTCTCCTTAATATGAATGGATAGTCAGGGATCACTATTCATTAGAGAAAAACCTTTTGCATGAAAGACAGAGACAAAAACAAACTAGAAAAGAAATATTACAGGGTACCTGGGTGGCTCAGTCAGGTTAAGTGTCTGCCTTCAGCTCAGGTTAAGTGTCTGCCTTCGGCTTACATCATGATCCCAGAGTCCTGGGATGGAGCCCCGAATCAGGCTCCCTGCTCAGCAGGGAGTCTGCTTCTCCCTCTCCTTCTGCTCCTCTCCCCTGCTCCTGCTCTTTCTCTCTCTCTCAAATAAATAAGTTCTTTAAAATAAAAAAAGACACATTAAAAAAACAGAGTCAATGCATGAAGCAAAGGGAAACCCTAGAAATCTAGAGTTATTTCTGAGAAAACAAGGAAAATTCTGCATGTTGTGAAATGCAAAGAGTTTGCTATTAATTTCACAGAGGATAAGAAGGATAAGAAGGAAATCAAAAAATACAGAAGCAGAAATTAACAATTAGCAAAAGGTCAGAAAATAAAATTGAAGAAACCTTCTATAAAGCAGAACAAAAGTACAGAGCGATGAAAAATAGCTAAAAGAATTTAGAAGTTCAATCTTGGGAGTCTAAAACATGACTATAGGAATTCTAGAGAGAGAATAGAGGAAAGGAAATTATCAAAGGAAAATTCAAGAAAATTTCCCAAAATTTTAAGAACATGATTTTTTTAATTTAAATTCAATTAATTAACATATAATGTATTATTGGTTTCAGAGGTAGAGGTCAGTGATTCATCAGTCTTATATAATACCCAGTGCTCATTATATCACGTGCCCTCCTTAATGTCCATCACCCAGTTACCCCATCCCCCCACCCTCCTCACCTCTAGTAACCCTCAGTTTGTTTCCTATGATTAAGAGTCTCTTATTGGTTTGTCTCCCTCTCTGATTTCATCTTGTTTATTTTTTCCTCTCTTCCCTTATGATCCTCTGTTTTATTTCTTAAATTCCACATATGAGTGAGATCATATGGTAATTGTCTTGCTCTGATCGAAATATTTCATTTAGCATAATACCCTCTAGTTCCATCCACATTGTTGCA